TAATTGTCATTTTTGTCGTCCTGGTAGGATGCAAATGTGTTTTTCCCTTACTAAGACTCGTTTTCTTCATTGTCCTGCACATGAGTAATTTCATCCCAGGTGGGAACTGGAGACAACCCAACTGATTTTGGTTTTATATCCTTGGCACGGTACATGTACCCCCCCTTTTTAACCACTGTTGTTCCAAACCCCAACAGAAATGTGCGCACTATCCAACGACATCCACGACTATTATTACGTATCCCAGGGCAAGACCACGATCCCTAATTTGGATGACGGTGAAGAAGGGATGTTGACTGATGTAAGTGGCCGGTGTGGTTACAGCTCGGTGTGACAGCAAGATGAATTCCGTAGTTTAGAAGTAGAAACACTGTGTGCGTCATGATTGTTTTGATATTGGCAGTATTCAGGTGGGAAATGGAGACAGCCCAACCCAGTACTTTGAACTTGTTGTATTTATTAATTCTCGTTCTGGCTTCGAATATGTGACTTTGAGCCAGGACTTTTATGTGCGATGTACAATATGTTAGGTGGATATTCTGCTATTATTTATTTTAATTTAACAAATTTATTTCCAGCAGGATTCCAGGGAATCCGTTAAACTTTCTTTATAATGATCCTGTTTCTCACTATTCTAGGCTCAGTTTCTGGAGTTAAAGCCTCGAATATTATAAAATCTTATCAATTTGTATAATAGTCATGGAAGATTATTGAAAGCAGGATAACACTGGATAAAAATTAGTTAAAAACAAATACTACAAATGGGATTATTATAAGATCCTACGGTTAATCTTTAAAACATGTTAACTGTTGAAGTTTTCGATTATGCAATCAATATAATTCTATAATAATTTGAAAATAAATATTTTAAATAAAACATATGGGCTTAGCAAGAAAAATTAATTGCAGTGAAATACATCTCGCGTATTGTACATCGTTAATTTTCCCTTACAATCTTGGGATGGAAGGACCTCCCGATGATGAGCCTTGCTTCTGTTTATGTGTAAACCAAAGGCAGGTCGTGTTTAGACTGAACGATTCTGTCACCTGTCTTACTCCTGTACAGAGAATTGCCTCCTTTCCAACAACATCCACGACTATTACTTCGTGTCTCAGGGGAAGACGGAGATTGCCGGCTTAAGCGATGGAGAGGAAATGAGCATCACGGATGTAAGTTGTCGCTTGTGCGACGCTGAGCGTTTGCCTTCTTCCTCTGCCTTTGTTTTAGCTGTAAATAAATAATTGGTGTAGATGCTTTACGTGTCACAGCTCGGGCGACGTGCAACCGTTTCCGTCTCGCGCGTAAGTTCTTGTGCGCTCTCCGGGTGATACACGCCGTTCGCTTTTGCACTTGTACGTAGCTGAAGTGAGCTTGTCCCGTGAGTTCGTCTGTGATTGAAATTGAATTATAATCAAAGGCGCTTGCTTGCCGGTATGCTTTTGTTATTCATATTTTAACAAATGCTAGTGTTAAAGTTTTTTTAATGAATTAAATATTTAGATATTTTTATTATAAATTTAATAAATGTGGTTGTGGATCATTGTTTATCCTGTACGTAATTTGATTATGTATGTTTGCCTAGTCATAAAATATTTTAACTATATAATATTTTACTAGTACAAGTAAAATACGAGATTCATATCATTCAATTTTAGAAATTTGTGTCCTCCATTCTTACTTAATGCTACAGAATAATTTCTAATAGCGTACGCTGTGGTACACGACGTAATATTTATGATACGAAATTGACAGTTCATAGAGGACTTTTTGCTATATTCTATATATAAATATCAACGCAATTAACTACAATTTCACTCTTGTCATTTTATGTTGTGTGCTGTGTTCCTATGTGTGGTCTGTTGATTTAAACCTGAGTGTATGTTAAATTGTTATTGCATTATCTACTGATTTGTAACCCTCCTCTCCACAATATAAAATAAACTCTTGAACAAATTAATTAAATTTATGTGTATATTAAAATTCAAGACATATGACAGAATTAATTTTGCGTATTCAATTGAATAATTGAATTTAGTTCATAACACACACTTAAAATATTGACGACCAAGTACGTGGATTACGTATAGAAACAGAAATGAAATATTGACGACCAAGTACGTGGATTATGTATTGAAACAAAAATATAATAATCATAAGAGTGTAAGCATTTTGAGTTTACAAATAATTGGCAAACAGTCGCAATGTCTAACTTGTTTTATGTTCCTTTTGATATTTGTTCTTTTAAATTTCGAAACGGGGTTGAACATTAGCCGATGTTTATTTCCGTGTAATTTCAAAAGAAATTTGTATTTATTCAGATATTGTTGCTCGATGTTTATGTCATTATTTGAATTCTGGATAAAGTACTTAGCCTGTATTTTACATATCCACTTATAGCTCTCCACATATAATTAAATTTAATTTTGTGATTGTAGATTTGGTATTAGCGAAATATCCCGTTTGAATCTCGACTGGGATCTTATTCCCTACTTGTAATGATTATTGTCCAGTGCCCTGCGTAATCCATAACCATTCTTTAAATATCTTAATCATTATCGTTGACTTCTCATCTAAGATTATTCTTTATATAATCTCAGCTGATGATTCAAGAGTTGATAAAAGTGAAATTCTAGCATCGCTTTTGCGAATTCTCTACCCCTATCATCATTTTTAAAGTAAATATAATTCATTTCCTTTTACCACATTTCGTATATAATCATGATTCCTTGGTTAATTACTGTGTTTAATAATTTTAATTTTATAAACTGTGGGGTGTTATACATATATATACGTTTATTTTACTTAGGCATATATATTGAGCTTCAATTATCTGATAAAATATAAAGAGATCTGTAGAAAATTAAAATTTTGAAATTCTAAGAAGTGTCGAAAATACAAATACTAGGCCTACGTGAAAGATTTCAAAGAATTTTCAGAATGTTCCTTCGCTGTTGCTAGTCGTGATAGTTATGATTGTAAGCATGCATCAGTACTTAGTCTAGTTTGCATGGAGACAACCTGACTTTTGACGCCGGACTGACGCCTATGACATCATCACGTCGTTTCTCATCTCGCAGCTGAGCTTCGCCAAGCCTGAAGTGCCTTTGTCTATGTATTGTTTCGCTTTAATCAATGTTTTTGTATTCGCAGCTTTCTCGTGCTTTATGTCTATGTTATTTACAATATATTTTTATTTTGCTTGTTTCACAATGTGAAATATATTTTCCTGCTAAATATATGTTTAAAGAATTTGACTAGATTTGCATAAAATGCTACTCCCTTTGGACTTAAAAATTAGTGAACAACAGTTTAACATGAAGGTGTTTCTGAATGCAATGCTATTCAGCAGCCTTAAAATCTGTTTAAAGGCTTAACTGCGCCTGACTGTAATAGGGCATGGGTCGAAAAAGATTAAATTTGGGTTACCTTGGTAGATAGTTTGAGTACTTGATATCGTGTCTTGTGTCACTGTTAATTATAACTAACTTTCAAATAAATCCGATTTTGGTCGAGAAGCCGAATTGCATTTACTTGAAAAGTGTTAATATTCTAAGGAGAGATTGAATCTTAAAACTACAAGTTTGAAATATTTATTAGAATTTTATCATTATTAAGATATACCGTTAGTTAACGTACTGATCTGTAGAGGGTTTAAAAGTAAATCGACACCTTTGTATAAATAATTGTGACAATATTTATTTTCCTAGCATAATGAGTGAAAGTTTTTTCAACATCATGGACATAAAAGGGAAATTATATTTTGCATTGTTGTCTAGTGATCTCTGCTCTCTCTCTCTCGAACGTTTTAAAATATTTACATAATTTTGCTTAAGCTTCGTGAAATTTCTGAGGCCAAGCATAGAACAATGCACACTGCTGTGGCATTCTTTACTAAATTTTATCAACCTTGAACTATGATATGCTGTAAAGATTTCAATTTTGGTAAATTTTAATGAGGCTGTATTGTATTATGCTTTGCCACGTTAACATAGGCAATATTATAAAGGATACACTTTGTCATAAGGACGACTACTTACAGACACACTTTCCTATTTGTTAAGAGGGTCTGTACGTTTCGGAATTGTAACCTATGAACAAAGTTTATCTTATAGTATGCCCAGATTCTTGATTTGATTTTAATTTTAATACTACTAATTACTTGAGGAGCATTTAACTTGATTTCCAATAAATGTTTCTTTAACGCTTACTGTTGTGAGTGATTTCAGTGTAATGTCGAATTTAAATATACGTAATGAGAATTCCACTCATATATTATCTCTAGATAGGCTTACCGTAGCTTATAACTAATTAATTATATTTCTATATCGACAATAAAATAACCTGACTGGGATCACTGTAGAGACAACATAAATGTAAAAGCATAACCAACCAAAATTACATTTCGTAGTATTATGTAAGTTCTATTTTTACTTACTGAGAAAATTGTTGTATTTAAAAATATATTTCTTGTGGGTTATATCAAAATTAATAAAAACTAAATAATTTAAATTTGATTATTTATTAGGTCTAGATAGTCTTAAGACTTACTGTCTGTTTCAGATGTAAACTACATCCCGTTTTATAAGATCTCGAAAATAAATCTGAAGATGTTTGTTCAGTGGTCTAGTGAAGTAACAGACTTGTCCCGTCGAACCAAAATAATTCATTTTCTAGGAAAATGTCTTGTTAAGTTATAAATTCGAAAAACCTCCCACCCTTATAAGCCAATCACTAAAGACATTATTCATCTTTTGATGCTCAGTTATTATGTCGTCTCATTATGATGAATTGACATTGACAAAACTAACCTTCCAACTTCTTACGGAATTAATATGATATTACTTTTCGCTCTTTCGGCGAAGAGGGTTAATTTCAACGTCTTTATCCTTGAACTAAAACAATTGCCTATTATTGTTCTTATTTAAATAATTGTCCTCCTTATCTCCTTATTAAAGAATTTTCAAACACCAAGTTTGTCCTGTATTTAACAGATAATTATGGGTGGAATTATATGCTATCAGGTGCATAAAATGTACAGGAGTTAAGACTATATTGTATCCATTTCTGTTGGATATTCTTAATCTTGTACAAATATACTTAAGAACGCGAAGCAAAATGTAACACACTACTTTCCTATATAAATAGAGTCACTGATATATTGAATGCGCTGATCCAGTGGCATTCGTGTGTGATTAACTTTCTCATTTTACTACAATTTTTAAGTGGCAATCATTATCAACATAGTCATAAATATTTAACTATTTTTAAAACAAATCTGTCACCATCCTGACCACTATACTTTGATATTTAAATTTGTTTTTATTCGAAAGATTATATAAATATGTTAATAACAATAGTTTCTACAGCACGGCCAGATGGGAGTATTATTTCCTAACATGGACAAAACAATTTTACTTGATTTCCGTATCTGATATATAAGATGAGCCTTATTACTTCGGATACGTATTGATCTAGAGTTTTTATTCTATATAAATTTTCTCAGGATTAATCATAGTAACAAACCTATGCGTCTATACACCAAAATATGTAAAGGAGAAATGAATTTTCAATGACTTCTTTATATAGGACTGTACGCTTATATTTATTCTAATTAACTTAAAATATACCTAATATTGCTGCCTTCGCTGTATAATTAATAATTGCTGTGCTTATGTATTACGTGTATATATTACATGTTGCCATAACGCCTAACGCCTGATCTGCATTTCACATTCCTAACGATCAGACACCAGTAACCCAACTCCTGTCCCCGTATTCCATTTGTCACTGATACTCCCTCAAACACAATGCAATATTTATGAACGACCTAAAAATTATAAAAAAAACTTACAGACAATATTTGCTTTGAACAGAACATTGCAGGATAATTAGATAAATACAAAATCTAAGTAAACTTGTTTCTGAGAGTTGAATTATAATTTTTAGATAATTATTTTATTAAAATCAAATCAAAATAACTTTAATATTTTTATCACTAAACAAAATAATTAAAGGACTGTGAAATCTAAATATTCTTTATTACATATGTAAGTAGGATTTCCCTGCCTTTCATACAAATCTGCATTCTTATACAGATTAAAATTCATAACTTTAAGACAAATCTTCCAATCACATTTAATATTCCTTCTTTATCTGTTGCTAAAAATCTCACAGATTACTTAAGAGTCGACTCCATCTTGAATGAACTTGTGTAGTGAATTCATAAAACTCAATCTAACACTGAAATCTCGAGTATTCGAAGCTTCCATTTTCCGTAAACAAAAGGACCTTCCGATGTTACCGACCACGTCAAAATCCTTTCCCCCTTCCGAGAGCACCTTTGCACGAGCTGGGCGCTTGCTGAGCTATCTGCTTGTCTGTCTCGCAGACAAATGTATGTTGTCCGAAAACATCTATGACTACTACAACGTGTCTCAGGGTAAAATCACCATTCCAAACGTTGACGATGGCGAAGAATTACAATTGACTGACGTAAGTAAAACCGAGGGATTCTCACGACTGATAATTTTTACATTTTATATAATATTCCATCTGAATCTACTGTAAATAACCTCTTAACTTTACCTTTCTCATAATTTATATTATCTAATTATTATGTTTTATGTATTTTTTAGTGTTTGCCTGTCAATGCCTTCCTGCTGTTGGCAGACACTTTATTAAACGAATTTAAATATTATAGGATTAGTTATAATGTTAGAGTAATGATACTATTACTTTGTCTTCACCATAGTCTCCTGTTTTTATCCTGTTAAAATTCTATAAACTTCAAAGAAAATTAAAACGTCAGATTATAAATAATTTTTCCTCTACGTGAAAGTCCTTAAGGCTGATTTCATTGCATTTTACTTTCGAATTTAATATCTATAAGTTGTTTCCGAAGTCCACGTTGTTTTCTGGGCTGAGACATACAAATAATGTGCTAATGCATGGCAAGTTGATCTGTTTATACTAAATATATTTATTTTTTGTGAAAAATTTCCTAAATATTTTTTAAACAGTTATTACGAGCAGTGATTAGATAAATAAATTAGTAATACATTCATATATTCTATGATATTTGAAGACGAAAGATTTGTCACTGCCATCAATTTATGTTTTGAGCCCACTCTACTTCTGTGCTTGGTATTCTTTAAAAATTCTGTGAGTAAATTATATTAAAGTTTAATTTCATGCTATGACGTATTAATACAGCAACATGCTTAATATTCACCAAAACATTGTTACTTCTATTCAGTTAGAATGGGTGTTATGGTTTTCTTCCAGGAAGCCAGAAAATGTCGCTAGAGTACTTTAAAGTAGGGCACGACATATTTTTTTTTTCCAAATTATGTCTTGTTCGTTATTTACCAATAATCTTATCATTGAACGCTACATAACTTAAGCAGTTGAAAAAGCATTGTTCAATAAACTACGAATGAATCACACAGTGATTATGCTTAGGTAGCTTGTGTGTGTGTGTTCTGACTAAGCTGCTGGGCTGTAAATGTTGCTGCAATTTTTATGTACAGATTTCTTTCTTCACTTAATGTATCAACACTCATTGTAAATAATTGTATATAATATAATCAAATAGCTTTCAGCTTGTTTTTACTAGGTGGTAACTCTTACAAATTTATTTAAATTTCTTTAAATAAAAATATTCAATTTTATTCCAAAGAAAATTATCAATTAACATAATAAATATTGTGGGAAAGATTTCCTAATACAGAATGTCCCAAAAAGATATAAATACAACGGACATTTTGATGGCCGCTTGTCAGTCAACTACACTAGATTTGCTGTTTTATCAAGTACTAATGATGACGTATTAATGGTTAAGTTTATTAAAATATATTTAATTTGTTGAATGTGTGCTTACATGTTTTTGGGACAGCTTGTATATTCTAAAAATTGTCAGGAACAAACATGTCCCTTTTGTAATGCAAACTTTTATTCATGTAGCAAGCCTTTGATGTGCTGGGTTTCACCCAAGAAGAGAAGGATAACGTGTACAAGATCACTGCCTCTGTAATGCACATGGGTGGCATGAAGTTCAAGCAGAGGGGTCGAGAAGAACAAGCCGAGGCTGATGGTACAGAGGTAAGTCATCGAGGACCCCCTCCAACAACCAGTCTTTAATTTCACTTCAGAATATCACGCGAAATGAACTTTTAAAATTGAAGAGTTCTGTCTTCTGCATGGTTGTGCTGTGTAGTATGGTAGATGTTTACCAACGTCGGTCAGACCTCTGAAACGTTGGTTAACATCGACCAGACTACACAGCGCAACAACCCAGAAGGCAGAAATCTTCATACTCTGATGACGGAGGCAGTATGGCCTCTGAAACGTTGGTTAACATCGACCAGACTACACAGCGCAACAACCCAGAAGACAGAAATCTTCATACTCTGATGACGGAGGCAGTATGACCTCTGAAACGTTGGTTAACATTATTTGTTACGTGCACACATACGGAATCAGTAGAAGCTTCTGAGTCCGCTAAGTGTAGGGCAGAAGCCTCTGTAAAGAAAGAGGTTATGATGACGTAAGAGGTAGTCGGATATTTTATCGATACCGGTGGCCTGTGATATCTCGACCGGACTGTGTCACTTTGACCTTGCAAATATAATATGAAGATCATTCTTTAATTTTTATGCATTCCTCATATTTATCACTTCTTAGTCCTACATTTAAAATTACGTGATATATGCTTTTATATTTTATATGTATGTAAGAGTATGCACTCAACGTATATGTGTATTTGTGTACATGAGTTTGTTATTACCTGGTTCTAACGGTCAGTAATCTGTGCTCTTTGTGACCTACAGGAAGGAGCACGTGTAGCTAAGCTTCTGGGAACAGAAGTTGAGGAACTTTACAAGAACTTCCTGAAGCCCAGGATAAAGGTCGGCAACGAATTTGTGACCCAGGGTAGGAACAAGGATCAGGTGAGCATTTCATCCTCCGCTACGAAATTATTAAACCATTGAATGTTGGGGAAAAAACACAAAATAGAGCTTAATATTTATCATTTAATACGAATTCACCAATGATAGTATACTGTATAATAAACGAATAGCTTTAAAAACTAAGGTATCTTACATACTTTGATTTTGAAGAGACAGGGTTCATTTATAATCGAAAAAAATCTATGTATCCTTGTAGTAAGCCATGACTTTTATTCTGGACACTGTACATCGTCCGTGTATACTGTAGCACGCATAAACCTTCAGGTTTACCTCAATACTTATAGGCTTATATTTAGAGTTCTTTATAACAAGACTATAACATTCTGTTGGTAATGTAACTACGGATGATGTTCGAGTTTCGGTTCGTTTATTTCGGACCAGGTAAGGGAAGTGATTCAAGCCCTGCCCTTGGAGTTACCTGTCCCATCAAATCCTTTCTCAAAATGATAATTTCCGTCAAGAAGTAGCCTATATTATTTGTACACTGGAAGTCAAAATTTTTTTTTTTTTATGATTTTAAAAAGAAGTTCCTGAACGATTTAATGAAGAAATGTCTTAGTAATTAAGTTTTACATACCATCAGATAGTCTCCAACATTTATTATTAGTTCGTGATATCAATTAATGGACTTAGACTATAAAAACTATCATCTTAGATCACTTAAAATAATAAAATAAAAGAAATTCTTCTAACTAAACAACTGAAAATACAATCAATGTGGACGGAATATTTTCTGTTCTCTTAGACACAATTCTTATTTATCTTCAAAAAAATACGGGTCGTGATGTAACTCGTACTGTTCATTTCTAAGTGGTGCATTTTTCGATTCACAAGCGATGAATTCTGTACCTTCATGGGCCAGAAAAGGGATCCACTCGTCATTAAACTTCCGTGACAGCCCGAAATCTAAAACTTTCTGTTAACCATAGGTTTATGCTTCAAAGCAAACCCTAAATAATAAGTGAATTATATCTCAAGAAGAATATTACTTCGAGATCTTAAAATTGCTTAGAATTTTTTAAAATGACTTAAAATTATATATTAATTTAATATTTTAGGTCGCGTATTCTGTGGGTGCCATGTCCAAGGGTATGTTCGATCGGGTGTTCAAATGGTTGGTAAAGAAGTGTAACGAGACTCTGGACACAAAGCAGAAGAGACAGCACTTCATCGGTGTACTGGATATTGCCGGTTTCGAGATCTTCGACGTAAGTTATTAATGTAGGAAAGCATATTTAATAATGATATTAACTTTCAAAGTGGAATTCCAATTACAGTAAACTACAGCAATTTAAAGTAGTAGTCTAAATATATTCTCTTTGTAGTTCAATATTTCAGAATTAAACAGATGTAACTTGGTTTTTAAATTACATGCCTTTGAATGTAAGTGTAAACAGTACTTAATTATTTCTTTTATACATCAATTTTGAAAGATGGCAAAAACCAAAAAAATATTAGAATTTGATATAGTCACTACCTATTTATAACGTGTTTTAAAAATAATCTTATCATACACAAAATGAATGCATGATTCATCTAATTCTTAAGGAAATGGAGTTGCAGTAGATTGGCAGGTATTTGCATGTTGAACGTATATATGTCACAGAAACATCGAGTTCTACAATTTATTTTTCTAGGAAGCTTCAGTTTCGACATGGTGTTTCTACTTGCAGACTTTTATTTATTGAAGTGATAATTGTTTTTTATACTTTTAGAGAGCCGGTGAAATGTACCACATTCCCATATTAGATGTATCTTCAATAATTTATCTGAAATATTATTGCATATATTATGTGTATAAGTAATGAGTAATCGAATTTATCTCAGTCAGGTTTGTCACATCTGTATTCATTTCATCATAAATCTGGATCCCTTTATAAGCATTACATAATCAAACTAAATTTAGTATTTTATTGTCGTATACGACACTTGGTTAAACTTTTCTCGGCTTCTGTAATGATAAAAATAAATTATATATTTATTTTCAGTAACAAAAGAATATGGATGCTGAGAAAACTGAATGAGAATGCACTTATTTTCAGATTTATTTAATAATTTACTATAAGTCACTTTCAATTCGTGTTTCAAAATGTACTACTTGATTTAGGCCTATAGTACAGTATCTATTTTTGCCAACACACGTAGTTTGTTTCTAATGTGTTCTGGGCTAATTCTACGTCTTTTTGTATCTGTAGTTACATAAAGAACCCAAAAAAATGGGAAAGGTGTTTTGTTGCTTGGGTAGATTGCTATACTATCATAAATAAGATTGGACTAACTTTTCTTCGTTTGTAGGTTAACTGAAAACTTACAACCCAAACGTAAATGGTTGTATTATATGCATATAAAATTTACATTCCACAATTTCAAATTATAATAACTCGCAAGTTCGTTTAGAATTACAGGTATAGGCCAAACATATTATTTCATAGAAAATAGTATAACAAACTGCATATGATCAAAACATAGAGAAAATTCTGAAATATGCTTTGAGCAACTTATACTCTGATGACGCAGGCAGTATGACCTCTGAAACGTTGGTAAACATCGACTAGACTACACAGCGCAACAACCCAGAAGACGGATATCTTTATAATTATTCTATTTATACCCAACATTCCGTAATACACTTTTCCCTTAGTTTACATTTGTAAATTTAAAATGAGGCCATGTAGACGTGAAGAATATTAACAAACAAATTCTGTAGGATTCACAGCATGCTTCACGCTTTGCAGTAGGCATAGCTTTCTCGTAACATAACGCATTTGTGCTGTAGATACGTAAATAACACAAAGTGATGTTGTAGTTCAACGGCTTCGAGCAGCTGTGTATCAACTTCACCAATGAGAAACTTCAACAATTCTTCAACCATCACATGTTTGTGCTGGAACAAGAAGAGTACAAGAAGGAGGGAATCAATTGGGCTTTCATTGATTTTGGCATGGATTTGCTGGCTTGCATTGATCTCATTGAGAAGGTAGATTAGAGTAGTAGCCTTGAGAAATTAAGGTCTGCTGGCTATATGTTAACCTAAGAACATTTCTTTGTATACGAAAAACATTCATATCCACCAGCATAAAAACCATTCCTTCGTGATCCCCAGGATAACAGTATTCTATTCAATACCCATTATTAATAATTGTATAATTCAGTTGTTATTCCGTGGTCTTTGAACTGTATACATGTTTGCCTTAGAGCAGAACAAAGACAACTGCTTTCAGAATTGAAGGTGGTTGTTGCCAAAAATGTTGTAACTCGATAAAATCTTCTCGGGCTATCAGCCGCATCAATTGGTTAAAAGAGGATGTCAACATCTGAACCCTGATGATGGTCCCTGAAACGTTAGTTTCTTCTTTTAACCATCTGACGCAGTTGATCGCCCGAGAAGATTTTATTGAGATGCAAGCATGTTGTACTCTTACAAGGCCCTGGTTGTTTGTATAGTGTAATTTAGTTAATAGTTGGCTTCTTGAACGTCTGCTATGTAGAACGAAGGTAGGAAGTGTTTCGAACGCATGCAGTTCTAACATAAGTTGGTACACTGACTGCACGAGATAAATTTAATACATAACTTCTAGAGGATTCTTTCTTCAGGATGAGCAGTTCTTCCAGAATGGTGATCTACCAACGCTTGTGACTGACTAGAGTGGTCATTTATGATTGAAGTTCCTGACTCCCGTTTCTAAATGATTTTGCTGTATAAAATTTCATCCATCTAATATTACTTATTTTGAAAGCTGAAAATTTATAAGCATGTTTTAACTGTTTATTTGATTTTTTATTTTTATTTATGATTGATATTTATGTATGTGGCGTTTAATTTGTTTAATTTACTTTATTTTATGCTTTGTGTTCTCTTATTTTACGTTCTTTAATTTTCTTCTGATTGGATTCTCCTGCTTCTGAGCTAACGTTTACACTGCACACTGGAAGACTACGGAATGACTTTACATTTATTTTCATGTTTGTGATTCATTTAATTTTTTAAACATTTACTTTTTTGCATTTATTTTAAGTTTGTGTTATTTATACGCTTGTTCGTACATTTTCTGGCTTGGATGCTGATTCCTGTTAATATGCACAAACACATCTGCCATAAACTAATTTGCAACCACTGATTTCCCTTTGCAAATGGTGAAATAAAACCTTAGTACAACGGCTTCGAGCAGCTGTGTATCAACTTCACCAATGAGAAACTTCAACAATTCTTCAACCATCACATGTTTGTGCTGGAACAAGAAGAATACAAGAAGGAGGGAATAAACTGGGATTTTATTGACTTTGGCATGGATTTGCTGGCTTGCATTGATCTCATTGAGAAGGTAGACTACGCAGTAGATTGCTTGGGCGTAAAATCCCAATGCTGATACACTTAGCTTTAATGCTGTAACACAGAATTTAACAATATATATTTATCCTGAAAATAGCGTGTCTTGTTTCATCTTAAATTTTAATTTTGTAATTTTCGGAGTCACTTTAAAGTGTTCTTTGCCTAAAATTGAGGCACAGATGTTTCTTTCCAAACCTCTATTCTCATATTTGATTTTCTGTGTCGAATATATATTTGTTAAATCTGGAACAAGCCAGGTAGTTTAGATAATATCTAATAAAGCGCTTCGCAAATGCAGCATCAGTGCTAATAAGGTAGGGGCGACAGCTTTCTTCTCTGCTTGCTTTCCTTAGTTGAGCATGTTGGCCTATGTTATTGACTCCTTAAAATCGTAGAGTGTCACCAATTCATGTGTAATTTTGACGTTCGTCTTTTGTCGTATTTAGCAGAAGGAGATGATACTTGCATTGGAGAATGTCCCATGGTTTAAACCTACCTATCGTAGTTAATGGAATTATTTTTCCCCCCCAGCACGAGTTGTTCAACGCACATCATAAATACAACAGACGTCTGAACCTGCACGATTATAAAAGCATCTGGAACGCAGTTTACAATGTCTTGTATATTTTAGTCCGTTGTGGACTGAAACCTGTTACATTTGTCATTTTATTAGTTTGGTTTTTGTGCATTACCTGTATTGATACCCCCCCCCCCCACACACACTGTCTGAGTTCTCCTCCATAACTCGCCAATTACTCTGTCTGCAACTTCAACTAATGCATCGTCCTTACCCTTTATGTTACCCCGTTGAATTGATTTGGGTATGTAGTTCAACGGCTTCGAGCAGCTGTGTATCAACTTCACCAATGAGAAACTTCAACAATTCTTCAACCATCACATGTTTGTGCTTGAACAAGAAGAGTACAAGAAGGAGGGAATCGAATGGGCTTTCATTGATTTTGGAATGGATTTGCTGGCTTGCATTGAACTCATTGAGAAGGTAACCCAAGTTTGTTCCCCACCTTTTACACCAATAAACGGAGAACTTACCACAGCTGAGGTCCAGGTTTGACTTCAAGCCTGCTGCATCCACATGAATGATTCTGATTGTGATGATTTTCTCTGCCTTCATTTAATTTACTGTGATTGTTTTTCAGTGTTGTGAAAGTCACCCCCTAGCAGGAACACGAGGGGCTGTTTTTTTTTTCTTTTTACCGACACAAGAATCCTTGCTAATTACTGGAGTGCTGTTAGAGGGATATGAATACAAATTCGTCTAGCAACGAAAAAGATATTAGAAAAAAATCTGATTTCCTAAGTAGGAGACTCGTTAGCATAAAAGTACACAACGAAATTAATTTTAAAAACTTACAGATAATTAAAATTTAGTTACATATCAGAAACATTTTTCGGCCGAGATTGATCTCTATATACGTTGACAGCTGACGACTTTGATAATTTTCTCTCTCCATCAGCGCTCTTATCTATTCTTTTGTCTTGGTGTTTATTTGTGCGTGTGTGCACCATCTATTGATGTTTCTCTATACCCTCTTGTGAACCTTTATTTAATTGACAGGGGGAATATTAATTTAATTTCTATAAGATGTATGCTGGTGTGTGTGTGTGTGCGCGTGGGTTTGCCGATCTCTTCTAACCTCTTTTGCACCCTCATTACGTCACCTTCGCGCAGTTCAACGGCTTCGAGCAACTGTGTATCAACTTCACCAACGAGAAACTTCAGCAATTCTTCAACCATCACATGTTCGTGCTGGAACAGGAGGAGTACAAACGAGAGGGGATCGATTGGACCTTCATTGATTTTGGCATGGACCTTCAAGCTTGCATTGAACTCATTGAGAAGGTAGTCGACGACGATGGGAGTCCCTCGGATCGTGGCTCGTCCCAAAGTCATCTATTAGTCAGACGGAGCGTTTCTACGGTGTTCATTCAAAGCAGTGCTATAATAATGCTTTTGTTTAATTCATTCGTTCCGCTGGCAAATTATGTGACGTCTTTTTGTATCTGAGGAATACTGATTCTTAAAACCAGAGACATTAATTTAAAGTAACAGTGATTAGACAGCATTAATTATGATAAATTACCCAAATGAATTCTTTGAAGCTCGAAAGTAGGTGTACTTGTGTCGGTAATTTATCATCTGAAAATACTTTATAAATAAATAAATAAATACATGACGTATATTTCATTTTGCTATTACGTGCATCATCTGTGCAACAGAATAAATTGTCCATAATTGAAAACCCACCATATTAATTGAATAAAAATTTTCTTGGATATTATCTATCGTCTAGTAAATATAAAACGTAAAACGACGTTTCGGAGATGGGACTCTATCTCCGTCTTCAGGTTCCTACACAGTTGGGCCCACTAGATAGAGCTAATCCCTATCTCCGGACAAAGTAAAAAAAGTGAAAGTCCCGGAATATTAGTTTTGCAAGAATTTGGATAATAATATTATAGATTATTTTAGCTGCAAAATAATTTGATTGAAAGAATGAGGTCTGACTTTTATAACCTTGATTAAAACACAACTTTTTCGCTGATAAATACTTGTAAACATCGGTTTGTGTTGTTTTAAAATTTGAAAACAACTACTTAACCTCCTAATTGCTTGAAAGAATTCAAATAATTTCCCTCGTTCGATGCATTATTTATATTATTTTCAGATTTGTTTAGAAATACGATTATTTGTATAAACTACGTCCTTATACAACACTGTGAACTCGATTTACAGTACAGTATCACATATCTTTAAGTACGGAATAGAACACTTCTGTTCTTTATAAGGTTAAACTCATGTAATCTTGGCATATTACAAATCTATGATCTAATTATTAAAAGATTAACTGCAAAGATGTTCGTAGAAACGCTCTGTCTCTTGCTAGTCTGTGATAATTTTGTTGTTATTGCCGTGATTAATTAACTTGTGTTTGAGTGGTGGCGGTTCAGAAACGGAATGGGTCCCTAGCCGCTGCCCACTCCATGGAGGCAGGTAAAAACATATGACTGTGTGAATTTTGACAATTTTGAACATGATAATTTGGCCTGCTCTGTTTGTTGCCTTGCATTGTGTTTGGTTTATGTTATTTCAGACTTTCTCGTCATACCTGATCTGTCTGCCTCGCCATTTTTATGTAATGTTTCCTATTAATAGAATTAATGCAGACATTTTATCATCCAGAACTTTGCTAGGAAACGAGGAAAATGTAGATCACACGTGCATATTCTATGCGCTTAAAATTAATATTGGGGCTTAGATCGATAAAAAGTATAATTCAAAGTCTTTTGTTGGCTGTTTGTCTCTCAGCTCCCAAGTGTTTCTTATGGTCCACTGTAAGAGAAGAACACTTTATGGGCATGTTTCGTCCATCTGTCTGTGCGTATTTAAGCTGAGATCCTATAGTGGTAGGGGACAGTTATTTTATGGACAGTCAAAGAGAAATTTCTTTTATCTCTTAACACCAATACAGAGGCAATGGTTATGCAACTAATTTGTACGTAATAAATGATCACACGCGTTGTCCTACTGTGATTTTTAAATTTCTTTTATCTCTTAACACCAATATAGAGGCAATGGTTATGTAACTAATTTGTACGTAATAAATGATCATACGCGTTGTCCTACTGTGATTTTAAATTCAAAGATTAATATAGTTTATCTATTACAAAATCGAGGAAAAAATTTCTTGTTAATATCACGTTACACATTGACTTCCGTGTTCGTGTTTAATTTACGTTTACGTTTATTTAAAATTGTGTAATATATAGTGCTTTCACTGATAATTTATAATGATCGGAACTTAGGAACTTAATATTTTTATCATTCCTAACAAACTTCTGTGATGATGAGGTCTTGCAATATCTGTCAGTGTAACACTTTTGTGTGTGTTTGTGACGTAATTTTCTTGTATTCTTTCATCATTTGTGTGTTCCTTTCGTAACGTGGTCCAGACGAACGGTTTTAACCAACTGTGTATCAATTTCACGAACGAGAAACTACAGCAATTTTTCAATCACCACATGTTTGTACTTGAACAAGAAGAGTACGAGAGGGAGGGGATTGATTGGGTCTTCGTAGATTTCGGTATGGACCTACAGCCCACCATAAATCTTATTGAAAAGGTACCAGAATCCAACCAGCCTGTAATGATCGTAAGAGATCGATGCTAGTAAGTCGGCAGCTCACTAGATTTTGATTTCGCTATTTATGGACATGCGATTATTATTTCTTGGTTCTGTAGCAAACTTTTCGCCGCCATCTCACAGAAGTTTCTTACTTTGTTGGTTTACAATGCTAATAAAATGTTAAACGGTAGAAGTTTGATTATTAACTTATACATACATGCAAAAACATAATAACGCAAAGTTTGTTATTTTAACTTCTGTTCCTCCTGAGTATAATTAATTAATATATTTATATTTACGTGAAAAGTAAAAGGCGATTATATATAATATAAACTCGCCAGGTTTTAACATTTTTTTTTCCTCTAATGAAAAAAATTGATAAAGGTAATTGTTATTAACATATGCTACATATAATTTGAGTTGATATGATCAAGTGTTTTATTTTATTGTTTATAATTTTTAAATATTGCCTAGTTGCAACTAAAGTACTGTCCGTTTAACTGTGATGTTTACAGACATATAAGTTATAAATAATAGAAAATTGACATATAACAAATTAATATCATTTACAAATTTTAAGGATCTGAAAAGTTATATTGCTCAGTGTTATGGAAACATTTACTTTTGGCATTGTAACAACTCTGAAGGACTTATCGTTGTGTATTTACATTGAAACATTTATCCAGAAGTGCGCGGTTAGAGGACGCCGATTTTTAAACAAATTAGCTCATTTATACAGAAAGTTTTGAAGTGGTTTGTTTAGAAACGTGTTCCGTCCGGATTGCACAGTGAACGATAATTTATGGTTTCAATAAAATGCACATGCCGTTACCGGCTTCTTCATTTAAGTATTTAACAAAAAGCAGACCTAACTTAATTACTTTTCTATTTGCGTTATTGTCCTTTCTTTAATTTAAGCTGCTTTTCTCAGGCTGTTGTAGATTTTGCAAGCCATAGTACTGGCAAATGAAACGTCCTTGTGACCAGATGTGTTCGGTAAGAAATGTTACTGATTCTGAAGCAGCTTGGCTTCTTGTTGGCTTCTTTGGTATGTACAATTGCTAATAATCGTACAGAACAAAATACACAGTGTCATCTTCGTGTCAATGAAAATATCAGTTCGCTGTATAATATTTTGTGGAGAAATCTGAACTTCCACCCAGAAATTTCCTTTAGAAATAATAATTAAATATATGAACGTTTGACATTTTTAAAATCAGCAGACATTATTAGCAACAGTTATCTCGTCCTCCATCGCAAACAAGAATATTAACCTCGTTTTAATTTTCAGTTTGATACCCCACATTTTATGGAACTCGAAGGTTCATATCTGTGTTCATAAGAGCTCGCCATGACCCCGATTCAGAGCCAGATAAGTCCAATCAGCACTCTCCTAACTATTTCCACAAGATCCATTTTAATATTATATTCTCATTTATGCATATTCTTCAGGTTGGTCTCTTCCTTCAGGCGTGCCAACCAAAATAACGGACATGGGAACATTTTAGTCTTGACAGATTTCTTCATGTGGCAAAGTTTACTGCCCTAATCCATCCCAGTCTTCGGCTTCAAAATTCCTCTCGCCCCTTACTTTAAAATATTCTGATAAAGCTTTCGTTATCTTCATACAGTTTTCAAATTTCCAGACTTCTCACTCCCGAAGTCTCTCACGTACTTTTCCCGTTGCTTGGGTCGTTCTAAAGAATCCTTCAAAGTCCGAGTCTGTGTAATATTTAGTAACATGTTAAGGTGAGGAGCTGTTGACCCCCTGGCCAGCCTCCAAGCTCGAGGATCACATCTTGTTGGCTGTCCGCGACTGACTACTTAATGTATACGCTTCTATAGGATGTATATAGTTACGTGGTTATGTGTTCTTAATATGTACTGAAGCAGTTAAAACATTTTGTTGAGCTGTATTATTTACCACGTTGTTAAAAACTTAAATAACACGAAGCTTTTTTTAATGTGTTATTAAACAATTAAATAAATCGTACGAAAAACATATTGATATATTTTTGAAATGTTTTTAAACAAAAAAATTGTACGAAACAATTTTGTTTTCACCGTGTAGAATAGAGCAACTGTAAAATAACTATTTTTTCTTATCGTATAATGTATTAATATTTGATATTTATATACTAAGATATTACGGAATGAAACATACGTGTTGTATTAATAATCTCAAGACTTCCAAATTTTTTTTTTAAATTTTTAAACTGATTCTACAGTTGCTTTAGTTTTAATAGACTGGAATAGGGGAAAAGAACACTAATCTGTTTTAGCTTAAAACTTAAAAATTTAGAATTTGTTTAAGTTAACTGGGATCAGTAGTTATCAGCGCTATAAAATAGTTTAACATTTTAACATTTTATGTGCGTCTCCATCAAAAATTTACGTACTGTAGATAAATGGCGCTTTTGCTGTGTGATAATTTTTATAAGAATAACCAGAATAATCTGTTGTTTAACATTACTTGGCGTTTCTCGTTTTTACGCTACATTCCATGTTGTATCAGAACCGAGATTTGTAGTCGTGTTAGTTCCATTTAATCACCAAAACCTTTCATGTAAAATAATGAATTATTTGTTTAATTACTAGATACCCAACAAGAAATTTAAGAGTTCTGGGATATGACCATGTTCTGGTTCCAACAGATATACCCACTTTTTTTACTTTCTTTGTTGAATCTTACTTAACTCTCAAATCATGTGTGTCTTGTCCAATTCTTTCTGTGCTAACTTCTGTGCTCTCTGTCACCTGCCTATTTGTGCTACTTAGTTGTAAGTATATTTGAGGACGTCAGCCATTTTCAGCTCTAATTACCGGTAAGTGCTTTAAGATACGAACTTTCGTAAATACGTTTATAACTGTAGACAACGTAGAATAATTAGTGTAGTCAGCACAGACGTTTTATCCGAAACGATTCAGAATATTTATATATAAATTTAAATAATGTCACATACGTATCGAAATTATGATAAATATTCCTCAAGAGTTATGTGGGAGATTCCTGATATATTATATTCAGAATTATATAATAAAATACTTATAAGTATTTTTAAATATATCATAAAATTACATGTTACTTTTAAGTGTTTGGATGAATTGAAATACTAGGATTTCACCACGGATATAATGCAATATTTTCATTCTAAACGTTTATAACGACTTACTAGACTAGATGATATCACCCATAACATTGCAATACACAGTGACATACTTGCTGGTGCTGTAATTATTCAAAATATTAAATACTTTGACCTTGTATACTAATAATAAATTCGCCTTTCAAACACATTTTAAATGGCGTTTTAAGGAATCGTAAGAATACTGCGTCTGTGCCAGAGTAGAAGCTAGTTATAAACTTATTAGGCTGCTTGTAGTTGTGTTGGGTACAAGGAGTGACATGTATTACGTAAAATTTGAATTCCGAACTGATCATATAGTTCGTGGAATATTACAAGTCCTTTGCCCTTCACTTCATATATGCTGATACGCTTATACAAGCTGAGTAGTGAGTAGGCCTATATTTAAAGTAAATGAACATTTATTTGTAGCTAATTTATAATACCTCTACTTTAGAGTTCTCAATATTTAATTTACATATAACTATAATCTGAGCTTACCGATTTAAGTACTCTAATTTAATTCATGGTGATTAATTATTAATAAGTTTTAAATTTATAAATCATTTTGTTCCAATTTGTATTTAAAATTTAAAATTATTATATCAAACACGTACAGAAATGTGTTGATGATAAAATTATAGTGGAAATTTTGCTTCAAAATTTTGAAAAAATTGCTAAATTGCCATTACAAACATCACCGTTACTTCACAACATTAATACTAACACACTCGTTTACAGCCTATGGGTATCATGTCAATCCTTGAGGAAGAGTCTATGTTCCCTAAGGCTACTGACAGGACCTTTGAAGAGAAGTTGATGAACAACCACTTGGGCAAGTCTCCCAACTTCCAGAAGCCAAAACCACCAAAGCCTGGACAAGCCGCCGCTCACTTCGCCATCGGCCATTACGCAGGCACTGTGAGTTTATTATTTTAAATAATCGCGAAGATTAATACCTTCAAAATTGTATACGTAGTGTTCATAACAAAATAATATTTTGACTACGGGATATTAAAGTGAGTAATTTATGATTACGTAAGTAGGAGACGCCAATTTGCGACGTTCCTCGATGTCTCCTTCTATCCGGCTATTTACTTCCTGGTGGTGGGGGAGGTACTCGAATTTTGGTGGTCTTCTTGACTCTCTGAATTAATTTGTATCTTATATGCGTCATGTTTGTGTTTGATTAAATATATTTATTTTGTACAGTCTATACACAAACGTTTAAAGTTTATTGGTGTTGTAAAAATTATATAATATTAAAACATTTTATTGTGTAAAATATTATATTAGCGCTCTTAATCGTAAATACGATTTTACATTATTTACGATTAAGAGCGCTAATATGATATTTTACACAATAAAATGTTTTAATATTATATAATTTTTACAACACCAATAAACTTTAAACGTTTGTGTATAGACTGTACAAAATAAATATATCTCTGAATTAAGTCTTTCTCATGGGTGTTTGTAACGGGTGATTAGGGAAGCAGGGTAAGGTCGTCACAAAGGCCGGGTTCTCAGGTGGACAAAAGACGTGTGATTTCCACTTCAAATTTGAGATCTCCTGATTTACTGTTTATTTAGTATTACTTTGAAACTTTTCACAGAACACGTGACGGCTTGAAGACATTGCTAAGAATGATCAGACATTAAAGGAAAACTAGAAAACCCTCCATTGCAACATCTAAGACGATCTTAGGGACGTGCGTTATGACGATAGGAAATGGGTTATATAATTTAAGGGTGTGACTGTGACGATGTGTCCATCGGGGTTTGTCAACTGTGGAGTTATTTTAATTAGTAATGTCAGTACTGGTACTGATTAACAGAACGCAATTAATAAACTTTAGGCAGCGGGCTTGTCACTCACTACTTATAAATGCACACTTCAAAGACTTAAGAAACCTCCGACATTGGAGGAGTCCAAGAATCGACTTCGGGCTGTTGCGCCATAGCAGAAGAATAATTAACAAACTTATTGTGAATTAAAATTTAATTATTCGTGTTTTTTTTCGTCTAATCACAATTGTATATAAATAAAATTTATACATAAAATATTAAAATACAAATATGTAAATGATATTTTAATATCTTATGTATAAATTTTATTTATATACAATTGTGATTAGACGAAAAAAAACACGAATAATTAAATTTTAATTCACAATATGACGCAATTATATCAACTTACAAACTTTACGTTTCAGAATCTTTAACAAGCTCATAGACATTCAACCAGTGAAGAAATTACCTGTCTTTATCTACATCCTAATGTTCATTATCTGGTTCATTAACTTTTAAAAATTAAAAATGGTCACTGCTTCTTTTCAGTGTTTATTTCCGAACTTTATATGAAATGTGGATGTTGATATGCGCTTAATATAAAAGCTTAAGGAAGTAACATAGGATAGAAATCAAACTTATTGTGCTAGAAATGCCCTTGGACTTGTGTAAAAATATGCAAAATTAATTTATTTATTTTTTTGTACACGATTGCTTGCTTCAAGAGATGTGAACAATTAGAAATATTAAATAGATGAAGAAATTGAGTCTAATACAAAATCTACGGAATTTTAAGGACAAATGAAAACAAAAAAATAATTACATGTACTCATAACTGTATTCAAAAAGCACCTTTTTATCCGAGACTCTCAGTTCTTGAATTTTGAATAATGTTGCGTCAGTCTAGAATTCGTCTGGTCATAGACGCCGAACGCTATACAGATAAATATTACGTTTTACAATTTAAATTGGTGTCAAGGCCACGGCGTTATAAGGGCTGGTTGCAGTTCAAAGTCCACTGTTGCAATTCAGGTGTCCTACAACATCACTGGATGGCTTGAGAAGAACAAAGATCCCTTGAACGACACTGTGGTTGATCAGTTCAAGAAAGCCAGCAACAAACTGCTAGTTGAGATCTTTGCCGACCATCCTGGACAGTCTGGCGCTGTTGTCGATTCTAGTGGTGGCGGCGGCAAGGGTAAGCTCATCCTCGAAATTTACGACTTTAAATTAGATTTAGAATCGTCCACAGGTTGTAGAGGAACGTATTTAAAGAATTTCTACTTTTTAAATATTTCTTTCCGAACGACTGGAATAAAATATCTTAAGACTTCTTAGAAACTGTTACACATTAAATATACGATGAATCTCGAATGTTAAAATAAAAAAACCTTGGCTTCATTTTGAAAATTCTGTTTGTGAATGATGTTCACATTTGTTGTTTATAAAATATCACTGCGTTTCCTCTTTATAAACAAATCTACTATAATATATTTGAAGATCAGATATTTTCAGCTATATTATTTCAACATATTGAATTACGTTATTTTCAGGTGTGAAGCCATTTTAAAACAATTAAATTATATTTATAATGTATGAGATTTTAGGTTCTCACGTTTTTCTTCTTAGCTGCGACGCCGTGTGTACAGACACTTATAGATATCCAACTGCGACTCTACACGGCGTCGAAACCCAGAAAAACAACATAGTCATGTTTAAGATGGATTTCGTAAAATGGAAAATTTGTGGCACGTACTGTTTGATATTTTAGCTCGCACGTAGTAGTTAGCCGCTGCTACGTGAACTCAGTTACAACACTTCGACTTTCAGAGCAGAGTCTTTGTGTTAATCATGATAACTGATGTTTAATAAAGGTTTCATATGCAATCTGATATAAAATTAACGTGCTACCAGTACCTTAATGTGATAACGATTAATTAATATCTTTTAAAGTATTTATGAATACGTGATATCTACAACACAATACGCCCTAGAATACTAACTCCTCCCTTCGTATAAAAGCATGTCAACCTTGCGTACAATTATAAACAACTTTACAACATGTAAAAGACACTCATAACAAGTAATGTCTTCCGACGTTTCTCATAGAATGAAATTACATTTTCGCTATTGCATTTTTCATTCCCTATCGTTCTTAATTCTACATCAACTCACATGTTTATTAAATTTTAATCTCCTGACGTACACAATACAATGTGTAATATAATTTATTATATTTCATAATTCACTGTTCTCAAAGTACCTATTTTTATATTTTTTTTAAATCTTGTCAGTCTAATCTAATAGAGAACATCATTTAATATATTTTAAATATTTAAATGTTAATTATAGTAATATTTTAATATTTAATAGGAATTTTATTGTGATTAGACTGACAAGATTTAAACAAATATATATTTATCACAATATGACGCAACTTTATCATCTCACTTATTTTTTTTTGTCAAAATATTCATTTCACGATGTGATTTCTTTACATTTCTTAACATTCTGCTATAATTTTCTCCTGATAAATCATGGTGTATGTGATTTCTTCTTTACAGTGCAAAATCGTGTCTTGGCACACTTTTAACTTTTGTAGGTTTGATCAGGTTTCTCCACGTTACTCAATACAAAACATATCCATATTAAGAAAAATAAATTCTGCTATTTATTTCGCTGTATTTGTTGAACAATTGTTAGAATGCGGATGTAATCATTTTGATGTTTTATGTTTGCAGACTTATAGCTGCTGTATTTTAAAAGACATCAACGTAACCTAGTTTTACGAAAGAAATATTATATATTAACAAGTAAGTTATCCCCAAAATCTCTTTAAATGTGCGGCGACTTGAACACTGGTTCTTCCCGTGATTTAGGAGGAGCCAAGAGAGCAAAGGGTTCCGGGTTCCAGACCGTATCTTCCTTGTACCGGGTAAATACTGTTGCCTACCAGTGCCGGTGACCGCCGCTCCGGACAGGACGAGACACTGCTCGGAATTTTCCTAACCTAACCTAAACACTGTCGCTTTTCTCTGTCCTAAAACTGTGTACTGTCATCGGAGTATGATGTGCTATCGTAGCCAATAAGCTCACGGATCCCACTTAAGTACAACCGTCAGTCAATAAACCACAAAGCAGAACATTTATTACAGCATATAAGACATAATTTATGTTAAAACAGCAGACTTTCTGGACATTATCTTAATTTTGTTAGAAACATGACGTTTCGGAGATGTAATCTGCATCTATCCTCAGTTAAAAACCTACCCTGTTTGGGGACTAGAATAAAGAGCTATTCCCTGTCTAATTTTACGTTTATAAAAGCTGACCGGAACACGTGACGTACTAATGTGGAGTTCAGTAAATGAAGAGTGATTGGTATGAATTTCGTAGTTTTTTTTTTTTTTTGATACGAGACTTAAATTTTGTTTTATGATATTGTGGTCGTACGCTATTGACAATAGTAAATAATATCTGGCATTTGTACTTCAGTGAGTCCTCTTCCTATGTTAATTCTAACGTTCAAATCTTGTCAACTCATAATCAAGGTATTTAATAAGAACATTTTGTGTCCTGAGTCTTTTCGTTGTCATCTGTTACATATATATTCACAAGAATAATCTTGTTTGCATACGTAATGGTGACTCGGTAACAATATTTTTTTTTTAGATAAATTTTGTTTTCGCCATGCGATTACCTTGATTTGAGCTGGCTGATTAAGTCTAACCGGAGCTGAACTCACCATTGTTTTACGTGTCCGTTAACTCTGTCCGTGCCATGTGTTTTTTTTGTTGTCTCTACTAGGTGGCAGAGGCAAGAAGGGTGGTGGTTTCGCCACTGTATCTTCCTCCTACAAGGTGCGCCGCTACGATCCGGTCTGATCGTCTGACTTATCGCCATATACGCCGATCCCATTTGTAAATTGATGTTTTCCGCTGGAATTTTCATGGAAACATTAATATTCTCTACTGACAAAACACGCTCGTCACGAATAGTTAATTCTCCCCTTTTCTTTTCGGAAAGTCTCAGTTCTTCTCACTTTTCAAATCCCACGTAGGACACGTGACTTGTTGAAGCTGTAAAATACATGGGATCGGCGAGGAGGCTTGAAGTCAAGACACAAACTTCTGCCTGATAAAACCGAGTGATGTAGTGAGATTTTCTATTATTTTAAATTTCTTTATAGCGTGACCACGTCAGCCTAGCCATCATCCGTTATCGCGTTCACTTTGTTATTGGTGCTTCAAATAATACCTGATGAAAAACATTTTAAGATAAATGAGATCAATTCTGTTAATTCTCATCATTCAAGTTTATAGTGAAATGACAACACAGTTGTATGATTTGAAGTTTTCACAGCGGTGAGTATTAAGATCTATGTATTCTGGGTTGTTGCGTTGTGTAGTCTGGTCGATGTTTACCAACGTTTTAGAGGTCATACTGCGATGAATCGCCCTGATGACGGAGGCAGTATGACCTCCGAAACGTTGGTGAACATCGACCAGACTACACAGCGCAACACCCCAGAAGACAGAAATCTTCATACTCTGATGACGGAGGCAGTATGACCTCCGAAACGTTGGTGAACATCGACCAGACTCCACAGCGCAACAACCCAGAAGACAGAAATCTTCGACAACACAGTTATTTACTGTGATTAAGGACTTCTGAAAAAGTTTCGTGTTTCGTGTTCGTCATTGATCTAAGCGGATCTCACGATGGCTAAAAAAATAATCCTACCTCTGGCCGTCAAATCCCCAGCAAGTAACTTCACTGAGTTTTACTGGCGTATATACTGTTACAAATTTGGGATAAATATTTCTCAGAAATCTTAATGAAAATAAATTTTAAATTCTTTCTCGCGTTTTCAAAATCATTTCCTACTCAAACAGCCGACACAGCGAAAATCTTTCTGAATTTGTACACATGTTATAAATTCCTGGCATAAAAATGTGTTTGTCTGACACGATCATAAGTTCATCGAGATCCTTAAAATAATATAAGCTTATTTAAAAATCAAGATGGCTCATCAAATTGAATGCACGTCTACCTCACGAATTCAATCAAAGTCACTGATATTTTTGAACTTAACATTCGCAATGCGGACTGACGAAACCTGAATCCTGTAGGCGTTTTCGAAATATTTTCTTTTCGGTACGCACCAAAACTTAAAATTTACTCACTTGCTCGGTATTTACACTAAACTAATAATTAATTTTGCCGGCGTAAATAATTTGTTATTGCCGCAGTACCAGAATTATTAAGGTACGTTCAGTTAATGAAATACTACAACCCTGAAATTAATTTCTAGGGTCTAATTCTAGGGTTCAAGTCCAAGGAACGTAGGGTAACTTTCACAGACGATAAATTGAAGAAGGCTTGATGGCGTGGTCTCGTAAATTTCGTGCAATGTAGAGGATTGTTACTGGTGTAAGCAATTTTCTCTGCATTGTAGCTGTTTTATAGCAAGCTTGAAGAGACTGCGTTCGGCTGGGTTGGGACAGTTGCCGTCGCTAATTTTCTTTTGCTGTTCATGATTCTCGTACCTACGTCTGTCAGTTACTTTCAGGCGCTGTTTGGGATGCTGGATGATCAGTCTTCGTCGTGAACAATCCTTCTTCAAGTGCTCAGAATTAATAGAAATTAATAACTTATATTTGTCTTCTAAACATTTATGTTATTCAAATATATAATATAATTCAAGTCTATACACAAACTTTAAATTGTTGATGTTAAAATTTAAAATTAATATTGATATTTTGCGCTATTCATCGTTATTACGTTAGCGCAAAATATCAATATTAATTTTAAATTTTAACATCAACAATTTAAAGTTTGTGTATAGACTTGAATTATATTATATATTTGAATTTTAAAACACAAACATGACGCATTTAAACTATAAATTTATGTTATTGTTAAATTTCCAAAAAATAAATAACTAAGTGCGAGGAAAACATGAAATTTATAAATAAACATATAACAAAATTTACAAAAAAAAAATTATAGTTTTACCGGTAGAAGGAAGTTAGGTCTAGTTTTCCTGTGGAATTCACATTGAGTCGATAGAAATTAATTAACTGGGCAAAAGAGAAAATGTTTGTGTACAAACAATATAATGAATGCATTTGATAACAAAATATTAAAGAGAACATAGGTTCAGTTTTGTCGCGATCAAAAAAAAAATTATAGTTTTACCGGTAGAAGGAAGTTAGGTCTAGTTTTCCTGTGGAATTCACATTGAGTCGATAGAAATTAATTAACTGGGCAAAAGAGAAAATGTTTGTGTACAAACAATATAATGAATGCATTTGATAACAAAATATTAAAGAGAACATAGGTTCAGTTTTGTCGCGATCAGATACATCCTTCTCTTAGAACACTGTAAATTGGGAAGCATTGTTCACGATGAATCTTTTGTATTCTTTAATGTTCGCATGGATCTACGAGCACCTTTCTCATTGACGTTCAATTGAATGTTAATCGTTGTCTTGCCTTCTGTTGTGTTTGTCCAAATGTGCATTTGGTACTCCTGTTACCACTGAAGGAGTAAATTAATGTTCCGTAAACATTAGAAATATAAAGTCAATGGTATATTAAAAACAAAACTTAATAATATCGGATCCCGTGATGTGTTTAAAAATATAATATAATTTTTTTAAAAAAATATGGTTAAAAATATCCTTCAAATCTTCAAGATGTCCCTGAAATATATTTTTACACGAATACAAAAAAAAAAAAATCTTGAGTTCTCGACGTGTTTGTAAACACGTTTATAAGTATCGAGTTTTGCAAAGACACTACCACTTTGATATAGTGACGGATTAAATATAATCCTTTAATTTCGATATTTCGATAATTATATTTTAAGTCACGCTTTCCGTTGCTAATCAGTCGGGTGGCGTTAGTGACCAAATTTCTTTTTTACGTTAATCTTGCTTTATTTTATTGTCAGCAATACGCCTTAAAATCTTGAAGACCTCATTGTTTTCATATTCGTTATAAAATTATTTAAGAAACCAATACGAATGCACATTTGATGACAGTGTATAATTGTACCCTGACAATGTGTTGTACTTTGATTGGTACCAATTGTTTTTAGCACTGCGAATTGAGATTCGGAAGCTTGTCGTTGTATGTTGATGTGTGTATGCCTAAGAAAATTGTGAATTATAATATTTGTTTAGATACCGTGTGCTTCTAAGATTAATCATTTTTGCATAAATCTGCATGAAAATTAATAAGTTTATCCGTGTATCTTATGTGTTCACAATATCGCCTGCTTAAATCCGTACTTCCTAATGACGCTTTACAATTTTTAGTCTATTTGTTAACAATGCATAATTTTTCATTAAGCATGATACTAGAAACTAGGTGAATCAGGTATGTATTTTCCTGTATTACAAAATTGTTTCGACTGGTATTGTAAATATAATTCTTTTTGTATAAAATTTAATGTATTTAACAGTTACTAGATTAATTAGTATTGCAAGTTGGATGCAATCTTTGGAATTTCTGTCAAAGTATCACGTGCTTAAGCAAAACACATAGTATTCTTTTTAAATTTTAAACTGTGAACATGTGGCTATTTTCAATACGAATAAGAGACAATGAGTGGCTGAATGAAATACCAATGTTATCTCTCCGAAAATAGGAGCAGCTAAACAACTTGATGACAACCCTGAGGAGTACTCAGCCTCACTTTGTCCGTTGTATCATCCCCAACGAGTTGAAACAGCCAGGTCAGTGCATGTATTACTAAATATATTTTTCAGTGTTCATGCATTCATACGATTTCCAATCGTTTCATAATGTAATTTGTCCAATACTTAATTTTTGTACTCGACTTTATATAGCCTACATTTAAAATAATGTTTATAAAAACATTAATAGGCCGCGGAGGTCTAAAAATGACTCAGAATTTAGAGAATATATATTTCAATGATTTAATTAATTTTCAATAAACTTACTTCTGAAGCTTAAAATATAAGTCAAGATATATGTTAATGAATATACGCATGTAGACATGTAAACCAAGTGTTAAATGCATACGAAAAACTAATGTAATATTATGGTGACCATGATCTGATATACAATCTGTACAAAAATATATTCAATTTCGAGTTTCTAACATTTCCCTAAAAGTATATTTTCTCTTTGTTGTTCATTTCCATTAGTATGTGCTGAACAAGTTTATAAAAGTTTTTAATATTCTGTGTGCATGAAATAAATAATACTTTTATGGTAAAATAGAATAAACATTTCTTATATCAGAGTAGTTTAATCTGGTGTTTGACAATTCGCATGGAGATCGAATGCCATTTCAAATACTTCGTTGTCTGTGCAGGTCTAATTGACTCTCACCTGGTGATGCACCAGCTCACCTGTAACGGTGTGCTTGAAGGAATCCGTATCTGTCGTAAGGGATTCCCCAACAGGATGGTGTACCCTGATTTTAAGCTCCGGTGAGTTTTTCAATAACACGAAAATATAAAATTGAAAATAATTACAAGTTTTGCTTCCAATTGTTATTTTATTTACAGTTCATAAATTTTCTCTGCAGAAATTAATATTTTAATTGATTTGTGTGATTAATATTAAAAATTTGAAGATAGTATGGATTTCAGAAGATATAACAATTTTAAGTTTTTAGGAATCGTCTTCTATATCAGTTTTACTTGTTGGAGAATGTGTAAAATATTGACTTACTTTCAGGTTGTGTTACTTTGATCATAAATTTTAGTCTTAAGTAATTCCAGCCACTTGAAAGTCTGATCTTTCGTAACATGTGACATAAAAGTTTTCATGTCCAACTTAATCATTATTAGTTCCATTTTTTCTTAAGTATTGCTGAAAGAACAGTTTTCAGTTTTATCATCCTATTACCTGTCAGTCACATCGATTACTTGATTTCAGGTAATTCTAATGCTCACCGGAACTAAATGAGTCATTTGAAGACATTATCATTGTCAGAATACAGTAAATTCTGCTAACCTTTGTGAAATATATTCTCAGTGAAGTCACCATAAACATCTTTGATAAACCCTTTCTGTTCAGATTCATAACTCACAGGAAATCCTGACATCAGCATTTTTTTTTTCTTAAAGTTACATGATCTTAGCTCCTGCCACCATGCAAAAGGAGTCTGACCCAAAAACAGCTGCTGCTAAATGTCTCGAAGAAGTTGGTCTGGATCCTGACAGCTATCGTATTGGCCATACCAAGGCAAGAAGGGACACCTGTCCCGTGTGCTCCCTTCCTCAATACCCTCTTTATAGAAGTGTCACATTCAACTTTCTGAAATGGTGTGAGTCGTCCGAAATACTTTTAGATTATTTTTGGCTACAGTTACTCAAGTTAGAATGCAGCTAATTCTGAATCATGTTCAGTCCACTCATGGCCATGGACATTTCTCAAAACAACGAAAGAAAATTTGGTATTATTAGGATATCCACACCTGAGGTTGAGTTGAATAGGCACACACAGTACTCGGAGGACTGTTCTCTGACCAAGCAAATGGAAACTCGCTTCGGTCAACACCTGGGAGTTGTGAGTTAAAGGTCCTCCGGCCCAGCTAGACAGGATGTCGTTTGACCTCACTTGCATTTCCTCCAAACTTCAGATGAAACTGAATCAACCGGCCCTGCTAGACAGGATGTGGTTTGACCCTTTTCGTATTCCCTCCAGCTTCAGATGAAACTGAATCAACCGCCCCATCCAGACAGAATGTGGTTGGACCTCACTTCCATTTCCTCCAAACTTCAGATGAAACTGAATCAACCGGCCCTGCTAGACAGGATGTGGTTTGACCCTTTTCGTATTCCCTCCAGCTTCAGATGAAACTGAATCAACCGCCCCATCCAGACAGAATGTGGTTGGACCTTACTTCCATTTCCTCCAAACTTCAGATGAAACTGAATCAACAAACTTTTATTTGAGTGCCCTTTTCCAGGCATCTGACATCAGAACGACTTCCTACTGTGGATTGCATCTTTGCCCCCTTTTATAGAGCATGTTGCATTCAGCCAGTTGACTCAGAATTTGAAGAGTTCCTTAAAGCAAACATTATTTTTTATGTTTGCAAATATTAATTTACTTGCGGTGAACTATTGTATGTAAATAGTACGACAACGTAACAACAATAATAATAATATTAAAACAGTAACGATCCGTATTGTATATAAAGCAATTATGGAACAAGAATTTGATTATCAGATCGTGTACGAAATTGCATAAAGACGACCTCTAAGTTCAAACTAATTCTAACTTCAAATTCCTGTGTATTATTCGTGGTATTTCAGTTTCTAAAATTGACTTTTCTTGTTACAGTTGTCACGAGAACTAGTCAAAATTGTAACATAGTTTAATATGAACTAGCCTTTACCTAAGAATTTCCAATCTTTCTATAAGTTGGAGTCTCTAACAGTAAAATCTGTTATTTATTAAAAACTGAATCAACTGGTTGGAGTATTCACATCCCGTTTAAACAAAGACCAGGTTACAATTCCCTTGTCTTCCGCATGTTCTGCGCTAGATACAAGATTCTATCTCCATCTGAGGCAGATAAAGCTGGTGACGACATAAAGAAGGTAGCTCTAGCGCTATTGGACGCTGTCAATATGGACGCCCAATCGTACCGACTGGGTCACACCAAGGCATGTAGTGCTTCCAGACCTGCACGTCTGTGTGTCCTTCGTGTTTTCTCGTTAGTAGTAGGAGTGGAGTGATATATTGTTTTCCGTTAACCAGTTTATATCCACAATTCCGCTTTAAATATATACAAATCGAAAGTTACGAATACTGTTTCTTTCCGTGTGCAATTTATTGTTAGAATATAAAGCATTATCGAGAGAATTTTTAAATCTCACTTTCATTACACCAATGTAATAGTAAGGAAATTTTAATATATATATATATATATATATAACGGATTAAAAAGTATGGTATTGAGAATCCCTAGAATATCAGTTTTAATTTTTAATCTTTCACTCAAATGCGTAGGAATGAACCCGTTTAATCAGTTAGTATACGAAGCTGCTCCATCCATTTGTTCAACGTTCGTCAAAAATTTTAAAAATTATAAAATCTATTGTTTCTATCCATACCAGAAACTCAGTTCTTTACAAAGTAATTTGAAACATCACTGAAAGTTAACAGCTTCCTCAGGAACATGCTAATAGACTCCCTTGTTCTTCTGAACAAAAAAGTGTTCAAGAAATTGTGAATAACACCAAGAAAGTTTATTAGAAATTTCTTTCATATAGCATATTTAACGTAAATTAATTGAATTCTTCGCGTGCTGTTACATAGAATTTTTGTGCGTACAAGGAAAATTACGTATCTCTTGTCCATCAGGTTAAATCAAACAACGCAATGACATCAGGACACTTAGAATGCGCTGTCTGCCATGTTGTCCTTTCTGGGCTAGCAAAATTGTTCCCTCGTGTTTATTATGCAATGTCAACGACTGATCTGGCATTGGGCATAAAATTATGCTGTAGACATAATATCGTTAACCTGGTAGCTAATCCAATCTGGACTTCATGTCAACAAATTTCCTGTTTTTTAATGAACGTTTCCTTTGTAGCTGCAGCCATGTTTATAAAACAAAATGCTTCATGAATCCCCCAAAATTTCCCATTTGAGTGTTGGTTTCCACCACGCGAGGGCTGTTTCGGATGAATCATAATTACAGATAGAATTTTTCCAAAACAAAATATACATTACAGTCGTGGGCTGTAGCTTGCTTTGATATTATTATATTTTATATAAAGGAAATTAAATGGGGCATTATAATTTTTTCTTTCAATGCTAAAATCGAGTATATTATATTTAATATATTTATTTTGTACAGTCTATACACAAACGTTTGAAGTTTATTGGTGTTGTAAAAATTATATAATATTAAAACATTTTATTGTGTAAAATATTATATTACAAATCGAGTATATTATGTTCATCTGAAACAGATCAAGAGTGGTACCTTGTTTTCTCCTTGTATTTTGTTGTGTTTTTGTGCAGAGGAGTAGAATAGATGAAGAACATGGAACTATATGACGTCCATGTTGTATAAATATATATGTTATATGTGAATTTTAATTCCATACGAACCCAATACATGACATTGGGAACGTAATAGTTCTGTTGCAGCTGTGTGTGTGAGGTGTCTGTACATATGCATTTTCTGTTGGTGGATCGAGAAAGTGAAATGAACAGCAGACCTGCGTTCTCGCTTTCAGAGTGTTGTTTGTTTGTATTTGAACCTTAAAAATCCTGTTCCACCCGCCAGATATAAGATTCTCTGCGCCCATCTAATCAAAGAACCGACAGACGCTCAGAAAGCTACGCAGATCATCTTGGACCACATTAATATCGATTCGGAACAATACCGAATGGGTCACACCAAGGTAGACACATGCAGACTTTCATATTCGAGAATCCGCGTGCCAGTATTCTTTAAGAATGTTTTAAAAATACCTTTAATATTTATAAGTCAGATTTAAAAAAAGGGCATAATATAAGTGCATAATGCAGTTAAATTTTGTATTTGTCTTGCATATTTTTATTTAAATCCTGTCCGTCTAATCACAATAAATTCTTATTAAATATTAAAATATTACAATAATTAACATTTAAAATATTTAAAATAAACAAGATTTAAATAATATATAATATATATTTATTATATCACAATATGACGCAACTTTACCATCTCTTGCATATCTTTGTTTGTTATGCTACAATATAAGTTATACTTTACGTGAAATTAGGTACAAATCTAATTAATTTTTTAAAGTAAAAAATTTGGCGTGATGTCCAGAATAAATCTTATATGACGAAAGAATATATCATTAACATCTAAAACAATTATTTGAAATATTTTTCGTTGTGGTGAATATTTAACAAAATATAAATAATACTATTTCTGATTTTATGGAGTATGTATTGTAACAGACTTTGGACTTTTCAAGGTAAATAAATATGAACATCGGTTGGGTATAAAGATCACTTAGAACTGATTTGATTTCTTGTTTTTGAATGAATAATGAAATCTCACGCGGATTCTCCTTTTTATAGCCACTTCTAATGCATGTATTAATGTTATTGTACATTATTCTTTAATAGCATATAAAGAAAATAATACAGTAAACATTAATATATCTTAATTGCACCTTGGAAATCAGAGGCACGACTTATCGGATACACGACGATTATAAAGCAAGAAACACAATACCAAATAACAGATACTACCTACAACACAACAAAGTTAACTGTAATTTCAATGCTGTAATAAGTTTCCTGTAGCGTACGGCATCATGGTTAGAACCAAATCTTCATCTAACTTTCTCTGTAACTAAGTGCCTTGTGTTCTATGTTTAACATTATAAACATGTCGATCCTATTTCGAATTCCAATTGTGAATATTATTTCCGTTATCTTTCTGTTGTGAGTGTTTTGACATGTTCAGCATGCTTTTAACAATAGTTGTTTATTATGTTTTTAACACTTAATTTTATCCTATATTTATCAATTACTCCGTTAGCCAAGGCTTTGTAAGGATTTAAGAATAATATAATTGCATTTAAGTTGAATTAATCCTCTCGTTAATAAGATAAATTTTATTACTTGAAATAAAATGCTATGTTGAAACTGTGGTAAGTATGTTTCAACTTACTGATCATATTATCATATATTTTTGGTCTGAGTATATTTAAGATGGTTTCCAAAGCAAATCTCTCTACTTCAACTACAGATTATTTAAAGTGGTAGTATTCGATAAAGACTACACTTTGCTTGGAAAGTAGTTTGACTAAAGTAAAATTAGTCTGTGTTCAGAACATCTAAATTTAAATAAATTATCTCTCAGGTTTAATGTTATGCTATACTACTTACAAGAATTATTCTAAATTCCGAACGCTAACCTTCCTATCTGTCGAAAAATTATTATGAAAACATTGAAAGTCCTAGAATAAATTCAGTTCCACGAAATAAAATGATTTACGAAAGTAATATATTTGTTATCTACCAACAGACAGATAGGTAGACATGCGTATTTACATTTTAACACATTATGTGAAAGTAATTTTCATTAGCTTCAAACCGTGGAGGTCACAGCATGCCTTATGGTAAGCACATCCAAATAACAAAGCATTGTAAAGTCTCTGATTCATTGTCCTGGATTTAGTGAGCATAATATTTTACAATCCGCGGATTAATCAGCTGAGGATATGCATGTCAAACATAACCAACACTGGATGTACACTAACCAGTAAGTGCACGATGCAGGTGTTCTTCAGAGCTGGTGTCCTGGGTCAGTTGGAGGAACTCCGAGACGAACGTCTCAGCAAGATCATTACCTGGCTCCAGTCCTGGATTCGAGCCTATCTCTCTCGCAAGGAGTACAAGAAGTTGCAGGACCAGAGGCGAGTAAAACATAATTGTATACGCCATTGTTTAGTAAACATTTCGATAAAGAACTGCTTAAAGCCTGTCAGTACGCTTGTTTTCAAATTTTAGATGGAAAGTCTTGTCTCAGACTCTAAAATACTTAGTCTAATTGCGTTGAATCCAGTAGATATGTATTCAAAACAGGAATACCCATTCTTAAATTACGTCGGTAAATATTTCCCTAGAATGTTATGCATATCATAATCTTTGGTGTAATCTTCTAGTAAGTACTTCTAAATTTTTTTAAATTTGTTTTACAAAATATTCAAGATCTATATATTTAATTTATGGAAGTACGTAAAAATTATCGACTTACAGTCATCATGAGTACAGTTAAAATCTTTGCTTATTTAGAATTATATACATTTCCTATTTCATCGGTATATAAATCAGAGGAGTGGTAACCTATATTATAATTCTTCAGGACAAAAACTTAAAATAAATTAATTTTGAATAGTACATATTTACCTGACAAATATAACTCTGATTTTCGTCTGAAGTCTATAAATAAGATTTTGTTTCGTCAGAAAGAGTTAAACTATTTAATTTGCTGACAAGCACAGTTGAATATTTACATATTCATGCTACAACCCTGTAAGTTGGCGAGTCCCACCAATACAATATTTTTATTTATTTACGGTTCATTTAACGACACTGCCAATAGCGCAGGCTGCTTACGGCTACAAATTACCGCGCGACATGATTTTTAATCAACAGCGAATTGAAACTGACGCACCTGGAAGCAGCCGTATCTTAATTTAAATAACTATCCTGGCATTTTCCCAATTTGACTGAGAAGAACTACGGAAAATCTCAGTCAAGATACTCTGCTTCCTGGTCGAGACTTCCAAAATAGGAAACAGTGGTGTTACGCACTCGGTCGAGAAGTTCTTTCATAAATTTATGGGGTTTAAATTTAAGTTTCTGGATTTCTCTAGAGAACGTGCATACAAATTTCAACGAGACGTGATAACTTTTAGGAGTGCACTTGTGGTTATGTACGCAGTTCCTTTGTGTGACACTTGCAATTCGTTGAAAGAATTTTACGTAGTTCAGAGGTTAACTTGGTCGTTGGTGCAGCCCGTCTTCAGTTCTAAATCGACTACCGAATGTCGGAGTATATGATGTACCTGCGGTCACGATATTGAATATTTCCAAGTAACAACTACCCTGACTTAGACGTTTTTCGTATTCTCCAGTCGTTTCAAACAAACGCTGAAACTGTAGCTCGTTATAAGCTATATTATTCCATTTTACAAACTAATAAATTATAATCACTGTTGTTATTACGCTTCCACAGTTGATAAAACATCGATAAATAAACCGAGATACAAGACAGAACTGAATTGGCGACTAAAATGATTCATAACTGGTCTGTTTTATTTTTCTGGTTAATTTTGTGAACTCCGTTCTTCATGCCAAATAATAACACTGTGCTCGCTTGTGTACGCCCACAAATAAATTTAGCTACGTGAAACTAAATCTAGGTTTTAAGCGAGAGTTTTAATATAATTTTGAAAACAGAACAATTTACGTTGAACTGAAAACCTATGACGCCGTTAAAGTATTCAAGTTTATAAATTCCGCTTGCGAACTCGATAATATTTAAAATAACCTATCTCAGATTCAGTAAAATTCTATGTGATTTAAATGTAAAAAGACGCAGTTTTAAAAATTTCAACTAACTTATATGTTTATGTTGTATATTTATAAGATAACTCATGTCACCATGTTACATCCCTGAATGTCAGTGGTATTAACCTCTTATCACGGACAATCAGTCGCTGACTTCAGCCATTTCCTTATCGGTGGACAGAAAGAGTCACTCGCCAGACAATTAATACACATAATTGCCACTGCCTGTAACACAGGTCTGGATATCAACATTCCTTAATTGGTTAACATCTTGTCTGTTTTCAGTGCGATTGCTGGGTTAATATAAAATATATATAATAGTTTCCTTCAACATCCTTCCAAAATGCATAATTAATTTGTCATTTATCTACCCATTGATTTTATCTTGTCGTAAAACTTTGATAATCGAGCGTTTAAAAGTTATTTTGAAATTAATAAATTCTTCTCGGGATATCAGCCGTAACACGACTGATATCCCGAGAAGAATTTATTAATGAAAGCATCACACCATGTATCTTGAAATGTTCTTGGGGGGAAAAAAAGGACTTCGTAATGGTGATTCAACTAAGGAATATGCTCGCGTTCCCACTGTTACAGGATCGCTCTCCAGGTGGTACAGCGAAATCTCCGAAAGTACCTGCAGTTGCGCACATGGCCATGGTGGAAACTGTGGCAGAAGGTCAAACCTATGCTCAACGTCACGCGCATAGAGGACGAGATAAAGGTACTTATAAAACAAGGCGTGAGACCGATCTATTTCTGGCGTCCAACATCATTATCATTTTTCGGTGGCCTTACAGAAATTTCCAAACTTACCTTCCTTACCACCACGTCCGCATTTTTAGGTGGGGCGTTGCTAAATATGAAGTTTATCCCCTTCCATACTTCCCCCTCCTCGCGTATGAATAAGTTTTTATTTGAGTCGTTGCCAATAGGCACCCAACCCACACCAGATTCTCGTTTTGAGGCTAAACCTACGAAAGCTGTAGGTTTGTGGGACGCCGCGAGGCGGGTGACTGTTGCTCTAATAAGTAGCCCGCGACCGACCAGACCACACCGCTGAGAACCCCGAACCCTCTCGATCCCTTCTTGTTCTGTTTGTTTGTTGTTAACGGCTTACAACAGCAACAATGGATCCTCGTGAACCTACTGATTCTGATCTACAGAAACTGGAGGATAAGGTGCAGAAGGCTCAGGAAGCCTTTGAGAAGGAGGAGAAACTGAGAAAAGAAGTAGAGGCCCTCAACTCTAAACTACTGCAAGAGAAGACAGATCTGTTGGCCAGCCTGGAAGGAGAGAAAGGTTCTCTGTCCGACGTCCAGGAGAGAGCCAATAAACTCCAAGCTCAAAAGACAGATCTCGAGTCTCAGCTTCACGTGAGTATAATTCTTATTCGACATTTGATTCCATTATGCTACAGCTTTCAGTTAAACCAGTTAAAACGTTAATGTCTAGTTTATTTTCTCTAACGTTCGTGGTACTTTCTTTACACTTCGATAACTCTGCGGTGTGTTTTTAGTACAAATAGACATTATTTTTATAAACGTATAATTAGTCCTTCGAGAGATACAGTGTGGGAGGGATAGATATTTGGTGGTTTGTCTGTGAAACAATTGTAGAAACTTAATTTATAAATATTATGTACATAATCCTCGTCATTCAAAGTGGTGTACCAGAAGCTTAATGAATTAGCTAGTATCGTTTTAGAAAAGAAATATCTAAAGTATATTCGGTCACAAAATTATAATGTTTCTCTCGCATAATATGTATTATCTGTTGGGAAATTAGGTCATAAGCAACGATTTCATACGTACCTTAAATTTTAGCAGTCACATTGGAAATGCCCATAAAATTTTGAAGGGGAAACATTCACGAAGGCTTCTTAGATGAATTTCCGGAGTAAATCAAATTTGTCGGCAATTTTATTTTGTTTTTCTATTTATAATTCTGTATAGTTATAAACTGGTTATTTTATATTATTATTTTCCAATAACAGTCGAACTAAATAAAGTCTTTTCAAAAAAATATTATGCCAGAGACAGTTAAGTTGTAGATATTTTCTTGGTTAACACAAATTCAATGGAACACATTTTATACCAGTGAAGGTTAAATGAAGCCTTGAAAAGATATAGTAATTGACTTTTTATGTGTGACGTTCCTACTCCGACATCTGTAGAACTTTTAATGTATTTGCACTAGTAACAGACAATTTAACAACCGACAACATCGTACATTTGAACGCTACCTCAAAAATCTTAAACCAAACTCGGAGCTGTATATGAAAAGTACGATTCCATACATTGCAACATTTTAGGTGTATTTATGAACTCGTACGAGTTAATTATTTAAATCTAAAGTTTATTTTTTTTAAAGAAACGAAAATTAACTTGGAAAATTTGCATAGTTTGAAATGAAAGATGTAATTAAATAATGTAGGAAATTGGGGCACCGAAGTACATTTTTTTGCAGATTTCTAAATCCATTCCAGCTGTTTCATTGCATAGAAACGCATTTTTTTATCCAAATATTTGAGACATTAATATATTTTATAGCTTACTTTGATTTCCCGACCTTGAAACGATGAATAAAAGAGGGGGCGTTTGTTAAGAAGGAGTTAATCTTGACGTGAATCCGCAGTATGGACATTTTTGGTGGTTATAAGAGGTCTAATAGCGTGTAACATGAGACCTGGCAGTGTGGAAATCCATTGTGTGCTGGAGTTGTGTGGGCAGAGTGGGGACCTTCTGGCGAGGGGCCCGGCGCTGAATGAGAAACTGCATCTGCCCACTGCGGGCCGGCTATTTGTGGATAAATCTCTGAGTCACGGTTCCAGAACGACGCGCTCCAGAGCTGACTCAGACTGCCATGTGAACAGCCACATTCTAAAGTGGGTTTATTTTCCCTTATTGGAGCATCGCTACTAATTTCGCTCAGTTCCAGTTCATAAAATATTCGAATAGGTTCTCAGACATCCATAATTTATTTCAGCGATTGTCCAAAATACAGATTAGTGAGCGCTCAAGTTCCAGTTCATAAAATATTCGAATAGTTTCTCACACACCCATAATTTATTTCGGAGACTGTCCAAAATACAGATTAGTGAGCTCACAAAAAAATTATTATATATTTTGTAGCACGAAGGAAATACTGTCAGGCGAAAATGTTAAAAAACGCAATGCGGACAGAACTATTCTTTTCAGATTGTGGTTTTCTAGGTTTTAACACCGTTTGGTGTAAAATCTAAGAAAACCACAATCTAAATGTTTACCGGCGTATGTATATTAATTCTTGTACGCGAGTATCCGTTCGGAAGCAGGCATTAGATTAAGAAATCATCGCCCATGACAGCATATATATGTATCTGTGTGTCAGAGGAAGCCACACAGAGTGGCACGAAGTAAGAGGAGAGAGGATTCATGTTGCCAACGGCTAACCCTCGCCAAGTTTGGTAAGATGTAAAAGGTTTTCAAGACTGAGTCAAAATATAATATCTGATGCAGGTGTTGCTGGCAATGGCTACCTACAACTCGTGTTACTATTCCTTGTAATATAATCCATGTCTACGCTCATAGATAGAAGTCTCATAAAATGTGGAATTTTCAGTCTTGTAGCAACGAATTTATGCGTTTATAAAACCCTTTTTAAAAATCATAAAAACAAAGATTTAATCTGGACAATCCTAAACTTGCGTTACCAACCGTAACAGTTAAGAACTATAATCTGCTACATTCTTTGGCAGAGGATCATTTATATACGCTTAGCACCACTCATTTGTTACATTGGCACAACGTATGATTTGTTTGTATACGAAGAAAGTGTGTTTGTTCCGCGCTGACTGACACAGTAAAGTTGTTGTTCCTCGGGATGCTAACAGAAATCGGTCACTGGCAGGTAAGCGTCCTGTGAATGAACGATTAACTTTTACATTACGTCTTCTCAGTTCCGCGCAGACTAGATCATAAGATATTTTGGAGAGTCTCGCTGAGGGAGGGGAGACGTATTGCACGATGAATTCCTACTGCCTTGCCCGATGCCATTAAAATTAGGGGACGTCCCACAGACGGAAATAACCGGCGACGATGACACCGAGGTGACAAAGTGGGAGCCGCGTGTGGTTTCCAGCTTTGGAGTACGGCCAGAGACCGTGACGAGAGAACTTGGTCTCGCAGCGGGACTGAGCTTTTCTATGCTAATCTAAACACCACGGCGTCTGCTTCTGCAAGAACTGCCCATTCGACGAAAGAAATACTAATCGTACGAATCTCTCTCCTCGCACATACAGACCTGGATATAAGGCCCAGACTTATTTACACTCTCCCATAGTCCTATTTATATACACAAATCCAAGGATACTTTTTATGTCTTTCATCCTCTGGAAAGTTTGGTTATGTTCTAACTTTGCCTCAGAGCTAACGGAACGTTATTTCAAAGAAAGTTTTTCCGCGACCACTAAAGTAACTCGTTTTGTTTTAGAAACTTTCCCCTCGGTCGTAAATTGTTAAACAACACAAATATTAAAATATACTGGATTCAAACAAAGGACTTTTATGTATTATCGTATTTATTTATATCGTAGGTTTCTTTGTTGAACTTGGGTTATTTTCCTACAAGTTGGTACTTCTATTCCAAATGACAGACAAATCAAACCAAAAAATAAACTTCTGAAATTTAGGTAGTTATGTCATCCCTTTAACGATCGGCGAGGAATTGTAAGGGTAAGTTATTTTACAAGTTATATTTCATCTAGAATACATCTCACAGATGTTTGTTTTTGTTTCAGAGGTATCGGAGTTTGTAATATTTTAAACAACGTATCCCTCCCACACTTGTTTCGACAGACTAACCCTTACAAATTATAAACGTAAGAGATGTTTTTGTAAGATGGGACTAGCGATGGAGTGGGGTGAGGTGATGGCATATTTGCCTCATGACTCCGAAATCTCCAAAACCAAAGTTATAAATAGCATTGCATGAGTGCTGTGGGATACTGATATGGTCCAAGCATGTCGGCTAACCACAACTCGAAGACGGGTTAGAGCATTATTCGGGACAATGAACAGTCTAATTCTAATTCGTTCTAATACCTTCAATACACACGTTAATGATCCCAGACGGGAGTTTGTGGGTTTTTAATCCCTGACAAATGTTTTGGTTTCAATGTGAAAGGAAAAGATTAACTTGAGGGTCACAATGTACAAAATCAGATTTATATTTTAGGTTTGAAGTGAAATAACTCTGTTTTACGTGGAATTTAAAATGATAATAAAACATTAGTCAAACGTGTCGCTCATAAATTTATGGACGCTTAAGGAAATTAGTGTTGCGGTATCGTTTGAAATCGTAAACTTTAATATTCATCCTGATATATATTATTTATTTTTATCTTGCATCTACCAGGTGCCAGGCGAATGGACGATGTGTTTTGAAACCCGTGTGTATACTTAACCTGTATCAGATAAGATATTGTAAATGCGTCATATTGTGATTATATATTATTAAACTATTTATTAAAAACTTTTTCCGTCAATCACAAAATATAATATTGTTAAAAGATTAAAACATCATTTAACGTTCCTATCGAGTACTCGATTACCTGTATCATTAAAAATAGTTACGCGGTATCAGAAAACACATTTAGATAATGCCATCGGTATTTGGCAGTACCTGAGTGGGTCCAGCGATCTGAAGACAGGTGCAGGTCTCAATACGTAGTGTTTTGTTCATATAATAGAGGACGATGGACAAAGTTCAATAAACTTTGACAGAGCTTTGCGTTTGTTGGTTTCAGGACACACAAGAGAGATTACAACAGGAAGAAGATGCTCGTAATCAGTTGTTCCAGGGTAAGAAGAAACTTGAACAAGAAGTCTCTGGCCTCAAGAAAGACATCGAGGACCTGGAGCTTTCCGTCCAAAAGGTAAATAAGAGCATCCGAAACATTGTAAATAACAGAATGTGTAATTATATTGTCCTGGAAACAAAAAACTGGATATATAGGAATCAGTTACGTAATTTTTTTTAATAAACCTAGAGGTAAGTTCTCTACACTCTTATGTTTCGTACTTCTCCTGTAAATATTCTCGCTACGTCGTGATCAAAGTTTAGTCTTACAACTTCGAATATCAATATTTCTCAAGTATGCTTAATTTTCTACTGTACATTACTATATATTTATCGTATATAATGAGAAGTAAATAGAAATATATTTGTTTATAATAGAATTGTATGTTATTGGAAGAGATTCTTCAATAATATTGAAAGTTAAAACAGCTTATTTCTTCTGAAACTAGTCCGAGCAAGATAAGGCGACCAAAGACCACCAGATCCGAAATCTCAACGACGAGATTGCGCACCAGGACGAGCTGATCAACAAGCTGAATAAGGAGAAGAAGAACCAGGGCGAGACCAACCAGAAAACCGCTGAGGAACTCCAGGTGACGTCACATTATTCAGCAATGGCCGTATCGCTTTCCAGGCCGAGGTCTAATGTCCGATCAATAAAGATATTATATTGTCCAGCTCCAGACAATAGCAACAATAATTTGTATAAACAATTGCCACAATTTTTTTATGTGGACATGGACTCTATGTTATCTTTATTGTCAAGATACGACCACAACATAACACTTAAACATAACAAAAGGATCACTGAAGTTACGAGAAATTCCTACTCCCTGCTACGAGGACTTGAACATTAAAATAACTTTAACACAAAATTAATTAATAAAAACAGACTAGAGTCAACTTATTAATATGAAACTTGGGCCTGAGTTTTTGTCGCAAGAGAATTAACATTTGTTTCCATTTTAAATACCAATTCGTTTTATGTCATGTACGATACAGAATTCGTATAAAATTTCCAAACAATAGCATTTCTGTCTGACAAAGAACTGTATAAATTCTTTCCAGAAGCAAACTCAAATTAAATTCAACACGTAACATTGCGCATTGGTAAAACCTTACCATCTGATACAATCGGTACATAACTTCACCACGGGGATACACTAAGTTCTGTAGCAAATACAATAAAAGTATCTCGTTTTTGTGGGCTGACCAATACATGAAGATTATATCTCAGATTTCAAAGCAATTTCAATTACTGTTTCAACATACGACTTTTAACACAAGACACAAAATCATTGTTTAATACAAGTACGTTAATGTTGTAAATTGTATTATCAAACTGAACATTATTTTCTTCAGGCTGCTGAGGACAAGGTCAACCACTTGAACAAGGTGAAGGCCAAATTGGAGCAGACCCTTGATGAACTCGAAGACTCTCTTGAACGTGAGAAGAAACTACGGTATGTTTATCTTTTTTTCAATATTCTGTGGTTTGAAGGAATAAATCGACGAATAGGGACGTTTCCATCTAACCACCAAAATTAAACAACGCTGTATCAGTCCGTTAGATTCAGAGTCGCAGTCGAATGGTTAGAATTCCTGCCTTACATATGGGTTCGTGTCTTCATGCAGAGATCGGCTATTCTGTCCGAAGTTTTTCGTGTTTGGAGACTGAAATAGGCCACGACCACGGTTCTACCTTTACTTTCCAAATTTACTGTCCTCGTATCATTTGCAGCTGTTCAGTGCAATTGAAATGGCCTCTTTAAATGGACCAAGGATCATCAACTGATAATGGTGATAGAAATTAACTAAAGCACTTGATAAATAAGCGAGCAAACAAACCGCAAGAGACTTAATTCACTTTTCGTCTTTGTGCTCTGAAGACGACTTTGGTCACTGGGTTCGGGCATCGTCACGAACACGAAAACTGATATAAGAACGCTGGCACCTACCCAGAATAAAACCGCGAAACTCCCTTTTAAATTGTCCACAATCGCGCACCGGCAATGACCAGGATCGTAAATATGACATTAACGAAACAATTTTCACGCATTGAAGTAACGTGTTTCTTTTTTAAGATATAACACGTAAGAATAGTCACAAATATTTGTTTGTTTTTTTATGGAGGCTTGTCTGCTCAAAGCGTCCTGCATTTGGCTGCGAGGCCAATCCTGCCAAAACACTGAAGTTTTAACGGCCAAGCTTTGTTACTGAAGTCACGTTTTTGTTTCTTTCTGCTTGGGTTTAAAAATTAATGTTGTGATTTAACGTTATTCGGTCCGTAAACAATAATGATCCGGTATATAATAAAACAAATGAGATATAGTCCGTTGAATTTTCAACATTAATTACATTATAATAGTTCATAATTCAAGTTTAAAGCTGATATTTGTATAATGGTTTTTTATATTCTATAGTATAATGTCGAGAGTCCTGGAGAAAATCACACACCAAGACACTGTGTACAAAAATAATAATTAAATTACGATATTTATCAAAGTCATAAGCACGACGTATTTTATCTCCTATAGGGACATCTCCATATTCATTTATTTATTTGTTCTTCAACTTAAATTACGCCAAGGGTCTGATTATAATCTTCAGTGAATTCAAATACTTGAAATTAGTTTTAAAATAATACGAATATATTTATAAAACAGTACACTGTATTGTACGGTTAGAACGCTGGCCTTGTAATCCTGGGGGTCTCGGGTTCGATTCCCGGCGGTGCCCGAATTTATAACTTGTGTTGGGCAAGGCCGTGGTCTAGGCAACACGGAGTTTTCCTCCGTGGCATCCCAACAATTACTCCATTCACACACAGAAGAAGGGAATGGCAAATAACTTCTGGATCATCTGCCAAGAACGTATATGAACAGGTCCCAGTCCGAGAAAAGGATGCAAGGATCCTGTTCATATGGCCCTGGCGTCAGACAGAACACTAAAAAAAAATATAACACTGTATTGATATCACGAAGTTTTCCTATACTTCACTCAGTTAAAAATCTCATACAGTTATCCTGTCTGCCTCTAGGATGTCAATGAGCGAAATACGCCGAGTATTTTACAAGTATAACTTCGATAAATGTGATTTTCATAGTTATTTTTATATAAAGTGGATAATTTGTATCACTGCGGTATGGAACCTGTTGTTGTGTCCCACCGAGAGTCAAACTGTACGTCCAGACCCAGACAAATTATGCGTGGTGATTACATTTTGTGCGCAGTGGTGATATTGAGAAGGCAAAGCGAAAGGTCGAGGGTGACCTGAAACTGACCCAGGAAGCCGTGTCTGACCTGGAGCGCAACAAGAAGGAACTCGAACAGACGATCCAGCGCAAGGACAAGGAGATTTCCTCCCTGGCTGCCAAACTTGAAGATGAACAGTCCCTCGTTGCGAAACTTCAGAAACAGATCAAGGAGTTGCAGGTACCAACATTTCTTAATTCTGCAGTAATTCTCCATGAATTTTCACTTCAAATTCAGTTTAATATATATCAATCTGTGTATTACTTCTGAAAATAAATTATAATGAAACATTGTGTTATTTTCTAGTCCCGCATTGAAGAACTTGAGGAAGAAGTTGAAGCTGAACGCCAGGCGAGAGCCAAGGTAAGAAAGAAGTTTTGTTCTTGAGGTAATGGAATATTATTATTATTATTATTCAGTGTTCTGTCTTACAACAGGTCCATTGCTCTGCCCAAAAAAGCTCTCCAGTTGTCCCTATTCTCGGCTTCTCGTTTTAATTCCTGGAACGTCATCTTCTTTCCTTGTTTAAGGTCGTC